GTCCTACCGTTTTGCTTGAATGTGTTTGAAGGTGTCGCCCGTGTTAAATGGATGCTTGCTATCTGTGGACTTGAAGCAATTGCCCGGATAAGCAATGGGTGACTTGAGTTAGTGGCGAGTCACAACCGCCACATCACAGTGTTGTTAAACGGACTTTTGTGGCTTTTTATAGGGAGAACACTTGCCAGGCGAAAACCCATCACGTCCTTGAACACTGCCGCCGAACTATTTGCTGGAAGGGGATAAACCCCAACCACCCAGCTGGAACCACGAGGAGGTTGTTCGGCCAGCCAGCCTATGTAATTTCATCTCATCAGGTGGAGACAGTAAGCCTCGATCCCGCGACCATTGGAATAGTAGCCGAAACCTCTACCCCAAGAAGGAATCTCAAAGCTATCGCCCGAATGCACCTACAATGGTGCTGAAAGGTTTGCGAAACTACCGGTACCTCGGGTCTTCATGCTCACCTAGAAGACGCATACCAGTTTGACTAAAAACCCAACAGCTCTACACTATTGGCTGTATCCTACTTTGTATGTTTGATGTCATTGGCACTGGATGAAAAATGCAGAGCAGTGCGCCTGCAGTTTCTCGATCATTCTGAGGCTTTTGGGCACGTAGAGTGTTCGACCCTGCTCAACCAGATGCGCGCAAGCGCGCTAAATGCAAATGTCTGCAGCGTGATCACAGAGCACTTAACAAATCGTACGCACTTCACGCAGCTTAACGTAACCAAATCCACTACACTTCCCTCCGATCGTGCTGTTTTACAAGGAGCTATTATCTCAGCCCTACTGTTTACCTTATAGATCGAAGATCTCCCTATTCCTTCCGATTTATTTGATGCAAGTATGCAGATGATGTCGTTATAGGATGTACATCTCCAACTGTTGAGACATCTACTCTTCAGATTGATCTGGATGCGTTGGTGCTGTGATCATCAACCCGGTCTAGCCTTCTTAGCATTTCTAAATGCTGTTATGTAGCATGCGCTTTTCTTCGGGCTGATCAGAGGCAAGCAGTTTCAGCTGCCACTTCCTCACTTACAGGGAGTGATCAACTCATACCCAGGATATCGACTATCAAAAGGCCTGGAGATTTTTCATCCCAAAGCCGTTCTTGGTCTAATCTTGTTTCTAAAACAATTAACAACGTTAGAAGATTATCTTTTAATGCCATCAGACTTAGAATGTTTTTGGTACCTTATGAGTTGATCTTTATAACTGCATGCTTCTGCTTCACTGGATGTACCGTTCCCCAGTAATTTCTCCTGAGCTACTACTTATAAATGACATATTATCCTGACGTTCGTTAAAACGTATTTTAAACGCGTTTCACTGTCTAGAGAGGCCCTTGTTGATATCACTGTCAACTAGCATGTGGACGCTTGAACTATCTTTGTCAATAAGGACAAAAAAATGACCCTTTTCATCCACTTTATGAAGCTCTGTTGAAGGCGTTATCTGTTTCTTCTACACGTTCTAAATTCAGGGGCTTATTTTCTCTACAGCTGCTCACCGCATTTCTATCCTATCTTACTCGTCACGATTACTTGTGAACTCAGCGAAACTTATTATCAAAATGCGTGCTTGTTTGCTCGAATGATATGCAATCCTTTTGCATTACATAACGTTTTTGCTTTCATTCCTAAACAAAAACGCTTGAATAGAGCTGGGTTGTGGGGCATGTGACCCGTGACCGCTCGGTAGTCGCAGGGATCCTGCGGCTGCTTGCAGATAAACTGGCAGGCACATCTTGTAAGGGCTTCATTTACATATATTTATAATTGACGTAAAGTGGGTGTTGCCCACCCGAAAACACTGACCAACCACGACGAGTTCCGATGTGATTTCATCTCATCGAAAAGCGTCGTGATTGAGAAGTGTATTCGGGCGGGCAACACCCAGTTTCCATCTGCCTTGAGTACGGACCCAGTGATCGCAGTGATTAAGATTCCCTTCAATGTGAATCTCGGTCCATCACATTGACATTGCGCATCGCAATCCAATCACACAATTTACAGTCAAAACTTGACGCTCTAATATACTTTATTTATTTGTTTAGCCCTGATGAGTATTGAGGATTTTGGCATAATTCAGCTAATTCCTCATCGCCACTCCCAATTAGCAGGTTTAGGCTAGTCTGGAAAAGCACCAGAGGCCTGTGCTTCGACCTTCTGGGTCTCGTTAGTGGAGCGACTCTTAGCGGACCTCTGCCAGATTCCACCCCCATGACTTCAAGATGCCAGAAGTTAGAGCCACTTAACCATGGGTGACAGCCGCGGACCTGCGTGGTTGACAGTCGAATATGATGTAGCCGGGTTCATCTTCCACTGCAATGCCAGTTACGAACTGTGCAGAGAGCAATGTCTAGCCTCAAGAGCTCAGAATTCTCACGTAGCGCCAATGCACCGCATGGGACTTAGAAGCTATACGGACAGATCTTATAGTACTGATGACTAGTGAGGATATTGGCATAATTCAGCTAATTTCTCATCGCCACTCCCAATCAGCAGACTTAGGCTAATCTGGAAAAGCACCAGTAGCCACCACTGACAAGAACCATAAGGTCGAAACGCCGACGTCTAGTGCTTTTTTAGACTAGCATAATCCTGCTGATTGGGAATGCCGATGATTAGTTAGCTGCATTATTTGATTTTTTGCTTTACCTTACGCTCATGCTTAACCTGATTACTGTTCGGCAATAAACAAACTAAAAGGAAGACCAAAAAAGCTGTCTTGATAACTAAAGTAGGTTTTCAGTCATTCAGATAAGAAATCTGTTCAATACGGTAGTTGGTATACGTAAAAACATAATCCAGGTTACAAAACATGAACTCCGATGGCAAGTGAATGGGAGCATCTGCATAAATGTGTTGGGTACCTCAAACAAGCAACACAAGCTAATCAACTCCATGGCATCTCGCTCAACATACTGATCAAGTTGTTGAAGCTTTGCTTCAGCATTTCACCTTGAGTTAGTAGAGTTAAGCACTGTTTGTGGCGAATTTGCTGTCAACTACAAGTGGTTTGTATAAACGTTCGGAGTACCTTCACTTTCCTCTATAAATAGACCCGTGGCATATTGGACCATACATCTATCCTTTTTGAGCTCTTTCTTTGCCGGATCAGAATAACCAATCCAGCAGACAATAGTTTAGACTGTGTACGTAGGCTGATAGCCAGCTATATAGCAGGACAGATTGGTGGTGTATAGTCGGAACCTAACTTTTGGTCCCACTCTTCTTCCAGTCACTGGAACCTAGGATGGCATCTACCGGTTAAAGCCTCCTGGTTTTTCCCAAGTGCACTTCATAATCAAGCAAGTCCACAGTGTACACAGTTGAAAGTCACGGTGTTCAAAGGTAGTGTATTACTGAGTCGCATCATTAGAAACCTTAAATCCGCAAACGCATGCCCCGAAGCGTTGAACCCATCTTGAATGGCTTCTGGATGTTAAGTTATGCTGTGCGATCTATTTCAACAGCAACATTCAATAACTCTGTGGATGGAACTAAAGTGAATGGCTGTGTATAGTAGACTATAAACCACTTAGAAGTAATATTTGGTTAGCTCAAACGGGGAACTAGCTCAAACGGGGAACTGGCTCAAAAGAAATTACCTATAATAATGATTCAATTGAATAAGGGAGCAGTTTCACTTCTCAGAAGACGTTTGAAACCGTTGCCCATCAGATTCGCCATCCATTTGCGTCACCGGGTCCCTCTGGTCATCCACTAATGGTGAACATGCTCGAAATACTGGTCGGTGGAGTAAATTCTGTTGATGTGGAGTTCTGCTCAGCTGCACGATAAACATAGGATAAATACGTTCAGAACGTACGGGAAAGTAAGTTCATTTACTGTTACTGTCCGTGAGACTAGGTTGTAAGCAGTTAGTAAATATACAACTGAATTTGCCCGAAACCAGAACCAATTGTATTGGAGTGCAGGCACTTAACTCCTAGAATGCGCCTTGTGAGCAAATGGTTTCGGTACTCATTACATAAGATTTTCAAATGTTTAGTCACCCTGAACTGCTGCTCACAAAAATTTTTACCCCAGCGATTAGTTCATCCTCATTTCCTATTAATGGTTTTCAACAGATCTACTTCTATTTACATGTTAATTTTGAATTCCGTGCACTTAGAGGTAGATGCGACGGGGCGCGGCTTTCCCCGTCTGGGCTGAATTGGCCTTTGAGGGTATGCGGGTGTTCTCCGAGCTGGTTGATTTGGTTGCGGACGTTTCGTCGTCAGGCTAGAAGACATCATCATGATGTCGTCTAGCCTGACTATGAAACGTCTGCAACCAAATCAACCAGCTCGGAGAACACCCGCATACCCTCAACCGCATCCCGAGCTACAAATATTCTTACGGATTTCTAATGAATTAGCCTTTCTTAATCACTGATTTTAAACCCGGCTTAGAATGCAACCAGGATAGAATAACCAAACGATTCTCTCCTTCACTTTAGCTCTTAGGAACTTGTGCTCAAAGATGAAGTTCCAGGAGACCTTTGATTGTGAAACAGCCACAAGCTATTAGAAAGGATGAACTTGTTTGCGAAAGTGAAAAGGCACCAAGAAGAACTGATGCACAATTTGCAATAGAGAAATAGCGGTTACTTACTGGATCGTTTGGAACTCACTTCCAGGGGTCAAACGATGGTCCACGGGCTAACCATGTTGCATGGACCAAACCACTTGAGGACATAGATTGTCATCTATCAATGCCAAAAAGAAAATTCGGCTAAGGCATATTCTATAAGAATTCACCTGTTGGTGGTAGCTCATGAGATTCGGGAAGCCCTTTGAATTTACTACTGTTTCAATATATTTTGGGGGATGGGATAAAGCCCAGTCACTTTTAAGCGTTTATGGCTCTTTTACACTGTAACCGACAAAGCGAGGGCAACACCACTGACTTATCTCTTTGGGCTTACCCCATTACTGGCATGACTTGCTCTCACCGAATTTAAAATGCACTTTTTCCCTAACAGGTGTTAGATGCACTAAAAGGCAACAATGTGGATCTGTCAACTGTGAGACTCCGAGAGAAGGGCTGTCGATGGCATGGAAGAAAGACTATTGAAGGCCGGATAATTCTGCGTATCTCAAGAAATACAACCGGTACATGGAGGTTGCTCAGCCTGGGAGAATTGCATTCGATGTTCTTGAAGCAAAGCAGAAGTCCATACACTAGTATTCGGATACTAGTTCGGGGTAAGAGATTTATCGTATCGATTACAGCGGTTGCAGACAAATATTACAACGTGGCTTGTCAAAGCACGAAATTTGCGGAACGTCCAAATCACTTTTTTGTGTACTTATTGGTAGCGTGCATATAACAGGCAAATTACTTAATTTCTAAAGCACTGAGTTCCCTTTATCATTCTAAATAAGACAATAAGAAGACTGGTATTGCGAGATGGTACCATTTCGTGTTATCAGTTCACTCGCAAACTAACAACAGATAGATGAATCACGTGACAGAAAAAATCGAAGATTTGAAACTGGTCGCAAAGGAAAAATTACGTAGACACAACAATGACAGATTAGCATCCTGATCTTTGGGTCATGAGCCCCAAGGAAGCTTAAGAGAGACTGTTAATTGTTTTTACACACATAGGATAGGGCGATGCCGGTTAAGTGCCACGGCTTCGGCAAACCTCAACACTTTGGGGTTGTCATTACGATAGATAACTGTAAATGTTGACCTGGGGTCAACCTGATGGCCTGATTCCAGTAGATGTTTGGCGATTGATGAGGCCGGCATCTTAGATACCTTTTCTCGTTCGCCTGCTTCTTGTGTCGATAGTTTGGCAATCCATTTTGGGATATGCTCTCCAATGCGCTTACCCAAGGATCAATCTGTCCTGCCAATGTAACTACTACCGCAGTTACAAACGAATTGGTAAATACAATGGGTTGTGGCGGAGATCGGTTGAGTAGGCTTCACTGGAGGCATAGGTAACTTCCTGGTCTCCCAAATGGGCTGCGTTGGCTGCGTTGAATGCCCGCCGAATAGCTGTATGCACACGACTTTCGAGTTGGGCGGCCACGATATCACCTTTGAAAGGTTATTGAAGGTAGACAGACAATTTGGGCACAGTAAGTACCGTCGGCCTGTTTTCCTTCAGTTGACCGTGGAATCGAATAAACGCTTCTGGATATCCGTTGGCTCGTAGCGTCTGCGTGATAAACAACAATTCCGATTCGAAACAGTCGTCAGTGCATATTCTGCGGGCTCGATTAAACAGCGTCTTGACAGAGCACTGCTTGTATTGTATAGGGGCGAAGCTGTTGAAGTGTTCATACAATCCTGTCCATGTAGCTTTCCTGTGTACAGAACGCTTAATGGAGCCATCTTCTCGTCTGGTCAACAACACATCCAAAAACGGAAGGCAATTGTTATCCTCCAGTTCTGATCGTCAGTACCCGGCCACACTGAGAAATAAAACAGCTGCCAGTGGCAATAACTAAACCTTAGTAGTGTGTAACACACCAATCGGAACACTGCCAGCTACCAATCGATTTCTTGTGATTGTTTTGATGGCTTTGTTATTTACGTATATGTGACGTAAAGGTATGTACAAATTGACAGTATCCTCCAGTAACCTACATCTTCTGATACTTTTCTCTTGCATTATATGGGAATTTTATATTTCAAACATAATTTGTGATTGCTGCGACTGTAGCGTTGGCAAAGCAGCCCATAACTGGTTACAGTATTGCCTCTTTGATTATCAGTGCTTCTCCTGTCCCTCTCTGAGATGCTGGTGAGGAACTCGGCAAGTACCGCGTCAAAGCTATCTAGTATCACTTTTGTTTGTAAGTGAAATAACCACACGACGCGATATTAGGGAGCGCCATCCGCAGAAACTGCAATCTAGACATAGTTATTATCCTCTGCTGTGATCAGTCTATCTGTGATTACATAACGTTGCATATTGGTTATAGATAACCTCCACATGGTTTCAAACGTTTCATATGCAGCGTCCCTACTGCAAACTACTGGTTACTTCCCTTAACAGTTAATCTCCCGATTGCATGAACCTGCAATATATAAGACTACACCCACAAGTTCGATCATTTTTGTCTGGTCAAGCACCACTTCATTCGCAACGTACGACTCGGTCTATACCATACAAATGCAGCAATTTCGACGGACAGCTGGATTCTCGGTGTTCTAAACATTTTCTTACCAGTCTCATCTGCTTGAAAGTCCAATACACTTTCGTGCAACAACAAGGTGTCCACTGAGTTATTTGACAGTTTAGGTTGTATCCGTAGACGAAAGCAAAGTAGCCTCGGTACCAGCAACTAAGTAGCAATGTTTTGAATATTACCCATCCACTGCGATTTTTGGCTTTCTATTTTAGCGTCCCATGGTATGATGGTAGTCATAAGACTTATAAATTCCTTTAGAAGAATTAACTCTTTAGGAGTAAAATAGTTTGTTTGTATCACAGCTGGTGGAATCGATGGAGATGTGGACAGCGCACAACATAAGTAAACATGTTTTGACCATCCTGAAACTAACATTCCAATGTTAGCCACTCTGTGGTATTTTACATTATTGACTTATTTCACCTTTACTACCATAAATCTGTGGGCGTGTCACGTAAAACGAAGCATAAACTTTCTTTACTAACCTTGTCCAACCAGTCCAACATAATTCACGCTAGCCACTCAACGTGCGAACACGCAGATGCGGTGAGCCGCGATCGAAATTTTATGGTATAATACAGCTAATCACAAATAAAATTTTCTAGTTACTCAAAGATTGCGTGTGATGCAACCCAACTGAATCACAATTAGACTTTTGAAAATTTGGGAGTTCAGGGATAAGTGGTTTCGTTAGTCGATGTCGCTGAAAACCTGTAGGTACCTTTACCCGGGTTGATGCTTACTGTATTAAGGTATCAAGATAATGCTGCTCTCTATATTTATTCTTTCTTTCGTACTTTGTTGTGGTTGTATGGCAACAATCAGCAATCCCACTAAAGCAACGGAGAATCGTGGGTAAAATTCAAATACTTAACAAGTTCCTTAATACAACAAGAAGGAGAACAAAAAGCTTGTACGAAGAAAACATGGGAGAACATGAAAAGCGTTTTGATGGACCCACCACAGCATTCACAGAGAAGCATGCTTATAAGAGCTAAACTCGAAAGTGTAGATTAATGCTCGTTGAACAATGTGCGCAATATGCACAGGCTATATATTGTAGGGCAACGTCAAGAGGAATTTTAACACAGTTACAGTAGGAGCAAAAATAAAGTAATTTGGGAGGACGCTCCACGGATGGCACATTGCGTTGCCAAACTGACCTTGTGAACCTCAAAATCGTGTCCGGACTGGTTTGCAAAAGTGAAGGCAAATGTGGCTGGATTCTTCAAAATTTGGTAGGTCATTTTTAGGTCGCTATGTATGCTTGGACACTGAACGCTCTGCAATCTTAGAGTCCTCAGCAGAAGTTGATTTAGAAGTTGGTACGAACATCTGACGTGTTCGGTAACTTTTCGCCTTGGAGTTTAGACTTCTGCGAGCTCTTGCCCGTGTCAGAATTCCTAGGCCTGAATTGCCTATTCCAAACGCAGCTGCACGTATGTGTTGGACAAAGGAGCATACAGACAGAACAGACCACACAAATGTCCGCCATAACCTCCCAACTTACTCGTGTCCAGTTTTCGAGACTTTCTCAGATTGCTTTCGGAATCCCAGATCAGCTTGGATTAATACACATAGTTTGAGCTCCTGGGTGACGGCTTGCAGTTTGGGGTCTCTAAGCTTGTATACGGTGTTCGACTATTGACGAATGTGAACCATCAGACTCTTACAAAATTCAATTCAGAAGATTGCGTAATGAGCATACATGCACTCTGTCAATGCCTCACTGAAGTGCAATGTGATTTTCTGGATCGGCGATCATCCGCCACATCTTATCATCCTAAGCCGGCATCAAGAAATCCGAGGTAATCAAACGCGTAGGTTCGGTAACTAACGTAATAAACACACGCGGCCTCAGGAATGACCCTAGTGGAACTGCATATTAGACATGAATCGGATCGGACCGCGCACCTCCAACTCTAACTTGCAATTGCTCATTCGGCTGAAAAGTCCTACTCCATCCAAAGACAGGATCCCAACTTCATAACTTTCGACCATGGGAGGCAGAATTCGATGAACTTTGTGTTTGAAGAGTTTGGAAAAGTCAATGTATATGATGTCAGTCACTCTACGTGTAGCGGCCGCTTCCGTTTAGCTACTGCTTACGGTCAGTACGTTGGTTATGCATGAAATGTGTTGGCAGAAAACGTACTGATCATATGCTCTGATCTTATGGCTTATAGATGGTCGACTAAAGACTAAGCAATGATAGCCTTAATCACCTTTGTGAGTGCAGTGATAAGAAACACGGGGCGGTACTTCACGAGTGCCGAGCGATTGCTAACTTTTGTAACTTAGCGTGATCATACCTTGTTTCTAATTGGTAGGCAACGTTCGCATTTGGAGCAAATGCGATAATGGCTGGGTCAGCATTGCTGGGATTAGCATTGTTAGGTTCAACCTTGCTGCTGCTGCGGCTGCTGCTATTGCTGCTGCTGCTGCTGCTGCTGCTGCTGCTGCTGCTGCTGCTGCTGCTGCTGCTGCTGCTGCTGCTGCTGCTGCTGCTGCTGCTGCTGCTGCTGCTGCTGCTGCTGCTGCTGCTGCTGCTGCTGCTGCTGCTGCTGCTGCTGCTGCTGCTGCTGCTGCTGCTGCTGCTGCTGCTGCTGCTGCTGCTGCTGCTGCTGCTGCTGCTGCTGCTGCTGCTGCTACTGCTGTTTCGTGCAGTGCCCTGGGGTGGATTTCATCAATTCCGTGGAAGCTGTAGTTGCGCATGTAGAGTGGTTTCTTCAACACAGTAGAGTCAGTAAAAGCGTTGTTAATACTTATTGATACTATGAATACATGTAACAGTGACGGACGTCTCGTTGGATTGTCGGATCATGCTGCATCGGTAGAGATGTGGCTGATTCTTCGAAGATCTGTGCCACCGAATCTCGTGCCGCGTGGAAGAATACCATGCTTCACTTTCCGGATAGTGCTAACATGGTTAAATAGGAGCTTTACGTTTTTGGCAATTTTAGCAACCTAATATATTTGGTGGGTTAAATTGCCACCTTGGACAAGCATACAATGGTTGCTCATGGTCACGTAGTGGCACCAGATTTTTGGAATAGGATGGGCTGTTTACGTGCGGTAATTTCCATTCCGAAGTGACGTGCACTTTCGAATTCCACTTCTAATGGACGACGAACTTTACCGGAACGGGGCAGAATAGTTTCTGAAGCAGTTGCTATCCCTAGGTTGAAGCATTCAGAAAACTGAATCCAGGCTCCGTCAGAGCAGCCACCTATCAAGTATCTCCAATTACTCGTCCCAACTAGATCGTTCAGGATGTTGTACCGTCCTATGTTACATGTTAGTTCATTGCGTTCCTACGAAATTCAGCGTAACACACATCGTTATACACTATGGTGACATAATCATTTAGCTCCATTGGGATATCCATAAATGTATTGTCGATCAGGAGTTCCTCATTTGTAATAACGAGGTCAACTACCTACGGTTTATTTTGAGCGCTGTACCTGGTATGCGAGGTGATGTGATTGTATAGTGGAATAAGCGACAACCTCTTTCAATTCAACCTTAAGTATTTCGCATTAGGTTGCGGAATATTCCAGTTAATGCATGTTGTAAGCATCAGAGTTAAGTACTTTGAAGTAATTTGCGAGTAAGCCTTTTGTCAGTGCTGATATTGGGCGGAAATCAATATCTGGATTTGACGCTTGGGGGCGAAAATCGACTGCCACGCAGCACTTGTCATTATATATGAGTCTCAAACGCCACCATAAAGAATCGATGACACGCGTCTCTGGACCACCCGGTGGTTCACGTTGTTAGTCCTTGGGATGGTACGGACTTCTACCATCTCCAATTTGGGACTATCGTGACGGAATTGCGACATCCCTTGAATCGCGGTCTCGACATCCATAACTTATGCTCGTAATCAAGTCTTGATTATGGGAGTCAGATCCCGAGCATTTGTTACCTGCCATAGCCGAAGCCTGACGGTTTTGCTGAGGAGGCCTTTGTCATTTATTTAAATGCGAGATAGTGTTTCCGTTCTTAAAAGTGATAAGAAAGACTGGCGGCTAGGATAATAGTTTGCTGTTGCGTCTAGTGGCATCGTAAGTAACCCCTCTCGCAACTCAGTTTTCACCATGCATGCAACATCGATGCAGGATAGCAGAGGAAGAGCATCACTTCTTTCAGACTTGCAACCAGTGTGAAGTTCGGATTTTTACCCTCATTTCGATTGCTAGCGGATGCGATGCTTTAATTCGGGCGGAAGTTTCACTCGCTGCTTTGAACCGGAGCTCAGTTGCCAATCTGTGCAGAAGTGACTGTCATCGTTCCAGTTGCCTAAGTACCATCTGTCTAGTTTGTAGCGCAACCTTCATAATCCTTTTGCCACAATCTTTGTAACTTGCTGTTCTTGGCAACCGTGAAAGAGAAGCTACTACAACGTCATCCGAGAGCAGCGTCACACGAATAAACTGCTAACACTCCTGGTCTTGAGTCACTCTTTCGTATTCATTATTCTCTTGAGACTGTAGGACGCAATGCATGAAAACTGTACCGACTGTAGTGTTTAGACGGAACATTGGTTTTTTGGCTCGCTCGGTTGAGCTCCTCCCATGGAACGCCTAGAAAGATGCGGAACAATCACGATCCGTCCTGGAGGCGAGCTATCAAAAGCAACACGGCTTCCACCTCATCGATCGAAGCTTGATTTCATCATCGTGCTTAGAATTGGATGGAGAAATTGTTGTGAATGGCCTAGAGGCGAATATTCCGTGAATGTCTTGGCGATTTGTAGTATTGGCAGTGTTTGAATTACTTTGTTAGTAGAAATCCCAACGTTGTAGATTTTGCTTGTAGTGGACATAGCTGGAGTGGCCTGTTCTTGTTCATGCAGATCCTATGATGGTGTGCAAAATGTGATAGCCAGTTCTTCCAGCTTATCATACTTATGTTACAGTGCAATTACGGTCTTAACTGATGGGACGGTATTACACTTCACGCAGCACCAAAATGAGTCTGACCTGCTGCAGAGCAGTGTACACACGCTTAGCGGATTTACTGCTTTTGCCGACCACGATGGTTGCTTCAGTTAGGACAAGTAGATAAAGGTGACAGCCCGATTGCTGCACTAAACGTCTTGAAGCAAACGGCTTTGCTCACATCCATCGGCAAGGACTTTTTAGGCAAATCGGTTACAAATATTAATTGAGTTGAATAAGTGATTTGGAGCTTACTGTGGAACAAAGTACCAAGAATCAGAGGAGCTGCATATAAGGATCTCGGTTTGCATCCCGTCTACCGATCGAATCCGTCATGTTCAAATTTCATTGGCTGTCCGTTTTATTCCTTTAAGCAATCTGTCTATTTCAATTAGACAATGCTGCAACATCTCACTGTTTTGTTTTCCTTCGCTTCCACATTGCTGAAAACTCCATTCTGTTTACCAAATTGTTTGACATAACGGTATTCGTCGTTATTCCACTGGATCTGCTGTATAGTGCGCCCACAAGTTTACTTGTTCTATCTGGTGTCGTCTCAGCTGCACTTACCTTATTGTGAGCACTTCCCCCAATATTGTTTTTTCACGGATTCTCTGTGACCTATAGTGTTGAAATGCAAATTTATCTATGTTTATAGAAAAATAAACATGCGATACCCATAAATCTGTTATGTTCCCAGTGTTGTGGAGTTTGCATTGTTCTCTCCTGACACTTCGAGCAGTCAGCACCCAAAACTAGGTATTTATTTAAGTCAGCTGCAATAGTAATGACTGAGGTGGACGTCAATGTAATTGGAGAGCCTAGTGGGGATTAGGTGTCGCAATCCAGTTACATGGTAGATACTCCAAAGCCTACTCTGAAATTCCTAACCGCCGGACCAACATATGCGCACTTGTCTCAGTGATCAGGGCGCCGGCTGTCAATCATTGTGTCCCAAACACCTTTCGCAGCTCGTTATCTCTAGGTGCTACAATTTGATTGTCGCGTTTTCAGTAACAGTGAGGTCAATGGTTGCAAGCGGTCTAAGGACCAAATGTGGGCCCTGTGAATGAGTAAAATTGCTGAATTGTATTGTATCATTACAAGTGCATACGCAGTGAAGTCATGTTCCAAAGAAACGATTCAATGAAAAATCTAAAGTGACGGCACTCTTCATAGACTGAGCACCATTCATTCATCCAGGTGTTTTGAGTCGGTGGTCGCAAGACTAATTGGTTACCTCATTATGCTATGCGCTTTTTTCAATTATTGTAATCAAGTTTAGCTTTGTCGTTATTGTGCATCCACAGAGAACCATCTCCAGATTTGAGACGTCTGTCTACATGGTATACTTCGCAGATGTTGAATACTGCTTGCTACTTTCTCTCGTATAACAATGCAATTTATCGTATTCGATCTTGTATGTGTCAGGGGTAATATTATAACACGACAGTAATCATACCATAATTTCCTACTGCAACTATCAATGTTAACTAGATAACATAAGCTCGAAGCCAGCGGCAGTATTATTGTCGCTTGCGGATAAGTTATTTCTCCAATCGTCTCATCTGTAGTTGCGTAACTTCGTTATATCGCTCACTGCAATAGGGGCATTCATCACTATCATATTTATTGTCATCCAACTGTAGTACTACATCCGGAAGGACACCGGATCTCTCCGCACGGAGAAGAATGTAAACTGAACCTCAGTAATGTGGTGATCAGCGCGAAGGACTATGTTGGTGCCGAAATTGAAACTGATACTCAAAAAAGTGAGGTTCGCTTGTTTTCATCTCACTGTATATCCACATGTGATGTGAGTACTTTGGATCATGTAAAACATGCTTGCACGCGATTCGCTTGAGTAACTTAGAAGATGTTCGGGAAGTAACGAAAGTGGGGTATGTGTGGATTTCGAGGGCTCCAAATCCCCGCAACGTGTGCCACAACACTTAGTGAACACAAGGAAAATACTAGGCTCCTTTCATGTTTTCGGGCTTTATCCCAGCCAGCATTCCACCAACGTGCTGAGGCACTGGAAGACATGACCATTCATTTTCAAGTTGATGATTAAGAGTAATGGACCACAATTGAACGGTTGTAATACGGTTAAAACAGCATTGCTTAACAAATCTCTCGGGATGAAAGCATTTGGAGGAGAACAAATGCTAAAATGAAAAGCGTTTGGGTACACTTACGATATCGTTATATATATACATATATATTTTTTTATATGGTGCTGCGACCAGTAGGGTATCCACACTGCTATTCCGCGACGTTCAGGTCCACAACTTGACTGACGAGGCGGTTGAGCATGATTCGGGCAATCATCTGACCCACACAACTCAGCAATTTGATGTCACGATAACACGTGCAATAATGCTTGCAATCTTTGCTCTTGCACGTTGGTAGCACAAGGTCATCCTTCAGCTCAGGAGGCACCTGTTCTTTAATCCACACCAATTACAGCATATAGTACAGCGCAGTCACCAACGCGGGTCCACCGTGTTTCGATAATTTAGGCGGGATCCCGTCAGTACCAGCACACTTGTCAGTTCGCGCATCTGAATTATCTCAATATTTGGTCCAAAGCTTGTCATTTGTCTCTTAATGCATTCAAGTGTCAAAATACTCTTCTTCCGCGACACATGGGAACCAGGTATGAGCAGGTCCCTACACAGTGCCCCAAGCGGCTTAGTGACATCAATGAAGTATCTAGATTCTGGCACTTGAAATTCTGCCAGGGGACCGACTGACAAACATTAGGTGCGCGGAAGATATAGTCCTCTTTGGGTCTGACCCAGGGGATATGTAAGCGAACTAATCCGACTTAGATGCAACGCTGCGCGCCTCGGCATGGTTTTACACCTGCACAGTGTAAAGTGTCGTGACAGCATTGGTCCACCTGTGCTGACCGTCCTTATAAAAAGTAGAACAGGGGCAATCCGAAAGTTCTTAAAAGCAGGAAAAATAAGGATGTTTTCCCAGAAGGGTCAAACGGTTTATTAGACGCGGCTGCATTTGAATGACTCACTCCCCGCAGATACGAGGACACAATGGGCATGAAATCGACTCGCATAATTCCGAAATCTTTATATAGGGTGTAGAGGGTAATTTTCAATACACGTTGTATGGATGATTCGCGAAGCGCAATCTCAATGATGACCGCGATTCCCATTGAAAGGGGTTACAATTCACACAATAAAGGTGTCGGAAATTCCCAAAGCCGACAGCTGCTTAAGCAGTGGATGCATTGGAGGTATCCAGTGTGTGGCGGGCTGTCTTAACCTACCGGTCTGATGGGCGTTGCAAACGTATCTATGGCAGAGCGCAAACATCAAACCAATCCTACTCCCAAAACAGGCAGCAACGTAAGTGTGATGACCTCGTACAATGAGCCACCTGGGATATCTAATGGGCCAGTGAAAATGTAACTTTGACATGGAAGGTGACTAAGATGCTACTGACATCTCACTAACCACATTTATTGTCCCTTCTCCTAAGAAAACAGCACCAATCAACCCCTGGTTCAAATGGCCTGACGAATGTTTCATGTCAAACGAAAAACGTTGCTCTCTTACTAAACCACAAACTAGTTTGTTTGGTTTGGTTTCCTTTACAAGAACTATGTACCTTGATTTACCTCAAGTTGAGCGATTCAAACGAAACATCTTTGTGAGTAATGAGGGTGTTCAGAAAGGTAGTCAAAGCTGCCGACAACCTACGATGGGCCATCTTGTTGCGGTCATTGACCGTGTACAACTTACTGTCAAACACAACCAATGGTGGTGATATTTTCATAACCCCATTAACGAGTTCGGCCTGTTGCGTCACTAATGCGACCGTGATGACGAGCGCGCTTACACGGGGGCTGCACAACTCCGCAGTTTACAAGCCGACCAGTTAGCGAATTTCCCGTCCCATATGATATGGTACAGACTAGCTAAGGAGAAGTAATTTTATTCGTTTTTAGACCGCTCCATATTGTGTGCAATGTCACACTGCACGTAGAATGATGGCTAATTACGATGCGCATGACTATTGTGGGCGATCCCGATGACGTCAGCTTTAGTTTCTTGAGTGGTTCGTGTGCTCTTGAACACTGCACTACTAACATTCAGCGGGCTAATCACGATGCACCGCATACATTGACACAAATTAGGCGCTGAAGCAAACGCAGTCGACCGCATAGCCCAATTAAATGCTTCACAGTAAGCGACAAATATCGGTTTCACATCCTGAGATGGATCAGTGGCTTACATCCGATGCGTTGTCTTCGCGTATCGCACAGTACCAATACTCATGCGGCAATATGTAACTTCCTGCAATTTACAAATTCGAGATCTCCGTAAAAGTACTAAACCAAACGATGGACAGAATGATAATTTCTTTTCTACAAACAGTAGCCCTATTCGTGTTAGCAACTACGAGGATCGGGGAAGAAGAAGAGACAAAGGTTTAACTCCTTGCTCCGCGGCGCAACCAGATTCGCAGACAGACTCTTGAAAACACGAAATGAGTAACGGAGCGTGAGAAGTATTAACAAACAAACAACTGACGTGTGATAAAGTCGCGTGAATGTGAGAAGCAGCAGCAGAAGCTGATGAGCATTTTGTAGTACAGTCAATTGTTTTGTGGGAGGGCGTGATACTACCCGGCTGCCCAAGCCGAAGTAAGGGGTTGACTTGGGGGAATCCACCCCGAGCCTTTGGCCAAATAACCTACCCGCAAGGCAGCGGAGCCAATTTATGGAATCGCGTCCATTGACAGGCACTGACTGAATGTTCAGTTCACGTGTCTTTGTTAGGTGGATCACCAAACAAGGGCCCAATATCCCTATGAAATCAACACAATTGCTGGACTACAATGCCCCACCGAGGTGGAACATTGTCGCCTAACACTTTGCTGGAACGTGGTACACCCGAACCACCCAGCTGGCACCACAAGGAGATAGTTCGGCAAGCCAGTATGTTGCTGACAAGGTGTAGGTATCTTGACTTTGAATCTTTTCTTAAGACATTATTTTGCACTTTTTGTTCGCATTTTAATTTTTATTCTGTAGGTCGTTAGAGTTGTTTGGCAACGAAGCATCAGTTCAAATGGCTGATGTCCTACTGCTGCTGCTGATGATGATGCTGACAGTTTAAAAGGTGACCTCGCGATAATGAACATCCTAATCAATATGCAGTCCTTATCTATAGTATTTCCCGCAAATTTGCATAAAATATCCAAACATTTGCAACGAATGCGCAACATTTTGCAAAGAAAGTCCAAAATGTTGCAAAACTTTGTGCGATTCGGCAGCCGCTCAGAGCCAATCCTCTGAACTTAAGTGTGTTCTCATTGGCCAGATGCCAAGATTCGGTGCTTTAGTCTAGGGAGGTGAGTGCGCTGCCCGTTGACTGGGTGATGCTTGTGGATGAACCTTAGGAGCATGCACTTCCGCGGTGCAATGGGCTTGTATGCGCCCGCCTCACGTCCGAAACGGTGAATCATATTTGGTCTGAGAGAAATGAACAGCTGGAACATAAGCGCACGACCGAAACTGTGTCTATGATAATAAAGTCGTCGGCATGCCTTCTCACGTTCGGCAGAGTATCTCATCAGATATTCGTGACCGAGTTTTGAGCGCCTTCGACAACGGTGATGACTGGCAGCTGGGGGCAACTCTGATCAACGTCAAATATCAAACAGCCTACTCCTGGATTCGTCGTTCCCTTGATCAGGAGCCGAGTAACTACGCAGGCGCGCGGTCGTAAACGCATTCTGTCGGAGGAAGACGTACATGAATTCCTGGATTGGATCGCAAGGGACTCAACTCTTGCGCTACTGGAAATGCGAGTGCGAGTACAAGTAGAAATGGACAAAGACATTTCGAAGTGAACAATTGCACGGCACTTAGATGGCCGATTGATAACTATGAAGAACATCTATCAGGCTCCCGGGGGAATAAACAATGAGCGAACCAAAGGGATACGCAGGGAATTTGTTCAGTAGTTTCTCCAACTTGAGAGCGATGCCAAGTTCTTCATTTGGATTGACGAAGCGAACTTCAACCTTTATTGCAAACGTACTCGTGCTCGGGAGCACAGAGATGTCAGGGTCTGTTGCAAATTAGCCAACAGTATAGGCCTCTATTTGCATTTGATCGGTGCACTCACAATGGAAGGAAAACTGTCGATGACCACCGGGAAACGCTCAGTTATAGGTCCCCTATCTCTCGAATGGCTGCGAAGTTATTTACACAACCTGAAACAGGAGATGGAGCCCCGGCAGTTTGTCGTCGTATGTGTAATGCTCCATGTCAAGCGCAATTTTAGTCATTACTACCATCTAAGCTCAGAAAATGTAGTTTATCAACGCAAATTTCTCACAAGTGAGATTTTCAAACTGCAGCCGTGCGAACATCGGAACGTTAGAAACTATCCATTCTGGTTATTTTCGGCTCACAAGGATACGTAAATAATAGTCCTGACGTTCAAATTCACTATGTGGTGCATTCCTAAGCTGGTACCCCTGATCCTTGGGTTCACCGTGAATATGTTGTTGTATTTACACGAGTACCGACAATTGTCTACACCGCACACATGATTCAGCATTTCCTTCAGCGAAATGTAGTACAGTTTCGCCATTATTTCAGTCGCATCATTTGACCTTAGTTTATCCCGGCCGGCGGTGTACAAGTTGACTGAGTGTGAGGCTGGACTGCCTCAACGTCGTTCACCGCACTTCTTGTCCGGCCCAAATACACTGTGTACTTCCAACCCAAGTTCATTTACCTAGTACAACCTTCCCTTGAAAATCACCCTAACAAGCCTTGATGGTCGCGATTCACGTGACTGCACTTGTCAACGGACGGGGTGG